GGGCGCAAAATTTGTGTTTATGGATGATAACGCCCGTCCTTACCGTGCAAACATCATAAGCGAATGCCTTTAATCGGAAGATATCACCCGTATGAACTGGCCAGCATTCTCACCGGACTTGAATCCAGTAGAACACGTGTGGGACATGCTTGGCCAACGAGTTGCAGCCTATCAACCTCCTCCTACATGTCTACATGTCCGGAACTTCGGAGAGCATTGCTTTTTGAGTGGTGTAATATCCCCCAAGATCAGATCGATAATTTGATACTCAGCATGCCTAGGCATTGTACGGACTGTATTGCATCGTCTGGGAGACATAAAGTGTATTAACAATCATACCAACCATGTAATATTGGTTTTTTGTAAATAGGTTTTTTTTTTTGTAATTTGCTCCATGGAGGAAAAAAATCGCTAATTTTTTTAATATCAATCATATAGCATCTTTTTTTTTCTCTTTACCTTTTGTTTAATAAATAAGCTTTACAAATAAGTCAAATTTGTTTTGCTTCTAACTCTTCCTTTGCCTGATTTTGCATTATCCTTAATTTATGGACATAAGTGTATTTCAATATAAATGTGCATGCAACTCAAATAATTATAATTTTCAAGAGACAAGCAGTATTCTGAGATTGTCTAATTACTGGTCACTTCTGAAGAAATTATTATTCAGCAGCCCTTTTTTAATGCAAATGCAATATTTTTTATTATTATTTTAAGAAGAAAATTTCACATAAATTATGTTAAAATTTTGTACTTTAAAATTAATGGAAAATACTATGTAGATTATATTTTAGATATAAATACAAAATTATATGATACGTACTACAGAACTCATATAAAAATCAGATTTTGGTTCCAAAAGAAAAAACTTTTATATTGTAATCACAAGAAAAATGCTCTTTAGAACAATAATCATAGTAGTAATTTCAAAAATATACTAATAATAGATACTATTTTTCATGCCCATAATTATTCTTTTTTTTTGGGGGGGGAGTATTTTTTTTAGCTAAATATAAGTTTCAAATTTTAACAGAATCTTTTATGCTCTACTTTTTGCAGAAAATCTGTTATTTTCAAATGTTTACTTTTAAAAAACACATCATTAGTAATATCATCATATGGAGCTAAATATATGAAGTTTTTCTTAAATTTTGTGCTACTTTTCATGGAAAGGTCTTCATTTAGAAAATATAATTCCAATGCTGAGCACATATTAAACATCACATCTTTTTTGTTGTTCTTAATTCTTGTCCTGGCAAAAATTCATCATTCCTACATTATATTTTAACATGTGATATTGAGGTACTGGCAATTCTGCATAGGTACTCTGTATTGATAACTTCTTTAGTTCCTGCTCAAATCATATCATAATGAAACGGTATTATAAAAGTACCAGATTGTAGAAGAATTTTCTTTCATTCTTAGCACCATGCTGCAAATGCACCCTGTTGTGAGGTATTCTGCTTGCATATATTACTTCACCAGCCACAACAAGCAGATTAATACGTTACATTTGTACTGGCTCATAAAAAGATTCCGTATGTTTATATTTAACAATCTACCTTGCTTAGGCTAACATACTCCTCCTCTTTTGTTAAGGCTAAAAAATATATATACACCATATTAATTTTTAGATTGTTAAGGTTAATAAATAAAATGTCAAGAATAAATACTGTGAACTAAATACTGTAAGCATTAAACAGGAATTATATCAATGATTAAGAATTACCCCACTGCGCAGCCTAACTTTATACAGTTCAGCAAACAATTTGCACAGAAGAAAGAAATATTATGGAAACTTTTAACCACTATAGAAGCTCATAAAACGGAAAAAAAAGAAAACTAAAACTTTACAAATGAGAAACATCTTGAAAAAACTGGTAAAAATCAATGTCAGCGTTATTCTGCAGATATTTAACCACAAGAGTGGGGAGGAAGGAAGGTTGATCTTTACATTATGGTAACTTGGCGTTTTTTTGGTGAAAATTTGGCGACCAACTCTCCTACAGAAACCCTCTATTTTTTTTTCCTTCACGAAGTAAAGACATGTTTCTTTTCTTTTTATCTACTGAAAACTTCTTCCAACAATCTACTAGCCGAATTACACTTATGCTAGAAATTTTATCTAACAAAACTGCTTAATCATGACAAATATTCACTGCAAAATTGGAAAAAGTGCACAATACCATACTCCTTACGCGTTTTTCAAAATAACACATACACATAAACCATGTACACGCCGACTTATTTTTACTTAAAAAAACATCCCAGAATTGCACAAAAATGGCATTGCGCACACTCTTCACTATATCCATGTACAGTGCTTTTTTCTCATAAATTAGAAAAATTTCACAAAAATACATGACAATTTTCTCAATCTTTAAACCCGGTAAAAAGAACAGATATGAAATTACCTGATCGCGAAAAAGTATTTACCCTTTCCAAATATGAATATTCCACATATAAAATAATAAAATATCCAAAAACTTTTACCTCTAAATCATCTATTACATTATACACGTCACCAACGAATTCATACCGCAACCATTACAAATACTTAGTGGTCAGATATTTAAATTATTTCCATGCACGTTTACTTCAACTAAAACGTATACCAAATTCCTACAAACATAAAATTCACAAAATAACTATCATTTAATTAAATATAATTAAATTCAAAAACATTACTTAAAATATAAATGAGCACATACATTAAATTAATACATACATAAATACCCATTTCGAATTCACTTTAGTTACGGCCATGGGATCCAAAAATTCACGAACACTGTTTCACACAACACAGAATAAAGCCAAATACAAAATTTCCAGATTTTTTCCCGATTTCCCCCCTTTTCCGATTAAAGAACCGTAATTCGTCCATTAATATCACATGACATATCCCATGATCTCTCATTTCCCTCACACAAAATAATGCGTAATCGGAACTGAGTACTGCTCACATTATTACCAAAGTCCCAGGTAGTAACCTTTATCGCCTCCAAAATGTCGCCAAACTACCAGTTACCATATTGTAAAGATCAACCGGAAGGAATTTTTATAATAAATTTCTACTAAACAAGTAACTGAATCCTAAATGACAAGTGTAATAAAATCTATGGTTTAATATAATCTAATGCAAAATATAATCTATGGCAAAATAATCTATGGTTCTTTATAGTTTGACAAAGCGCTATTTTGATTTTATTAAAAAAAAAAAAAAAAAGAGTGATAAAAAATTACATAAAAACTTAAAACTTAGTGATTGGACATTATCTCAAGTGACAATATTTTCAGTGTCAAAATAGTAATCGCCAATATGAAAAATTAATGTTTAATTTCAAAAGATTTTCAGATTTTAGCTCTTTTTAAATAACAGTTAACGGTCAGAAAAGTTGCATTTTTAGTTTAATAATGAGTGACAGATAAAATTTAATTCCTCCTTCATAGTACACATTTATTATTTTGCACAAATGTTATTACTTTAAAATATCAAGTAAAATTTATATTTAGTCATACAGATGTGATTAGATACATTTTAAAAACCTCAAAAGCGTGCAGCTATGCTAACAGGTTAATCATAGTTGGTCACAGTAGTAATTACACTACTGTGCCTTTCAGTCTTACAGTTTATTTTACTAACAAAATGGTTTCTAAAAGCAGAAGAACAAAAATACCCAGTCCTGTGAATTTTTCATCTCATACATCAATATTGCAGAAATAAACAGGATCTGAATTAGAAGCCACAAATTCTGAAATAAGAATCCTATTGATGATAGAATCATACTTCAAAGAAAGAAATGCAAAAATTAATTACAAAACTTAGATAAGAAATGAAATAGTAAGCTATCAGTTTTATTAGATAATTCAGTTTCACTAGTGATTCCTAGCTCACTTTAAAAACTAAAATTTAACAATGGAAAAAATGTATTTTCTTCTCTCAGTCAAATACTGCAACATTTAATTAAAACTATAAAGAATTTTCCATTCTTACGACACTGATTCTGACTGTATCATAGAGTAAAATAAATTAAACACATACAACTCAAAATGTATATACAGAAGTAAAAAAACAGATGAAACTAAAAAAAAATTTAAATACCTTTATAACATGATTAATAAATTCAAATTTTTCTCAGTTTCCAAACAATACCTGTTTTATGTATATTTATTTTTAGCGACAAAATTGCTTAGAGATTAATTCCTTATTAAATTCCCACCTAAGATCGTTTATTAAATTACAAAACTATCCATCGTAATATTTTCCCACAATTGTAAAATTATTGATAACTAAAACTCTACATAAACAGCCTAAAGCAAACGAACAAAGTAAAAAAAAAAAAAAAAAGCCTCGGCACAATGCGCAACTGAAAAAACAAATTTAAAAAAAAAAAATACTGTACTCACTGACATCTTATAAATATTTCTTGCATATTTCAAACATTTTCATACTAAACAGATTCCCTTCCCCCACCCTGTATCTGAATAATTAAGTCTAAAGTCCCTACCCAAACACCGGCAAACAAACGTAAACAAAACACACAGCCTAAAAACAAAATCTATGAAAATACGATAAAAAAAATAAATAAAACCACGTGCACCACATGGCCGTCCACAGAAAATACCCTTTATTTTTATTTTGTTTATGGATGAAACACTCTTCCGAAATTATGACATACACTGAATAAGCTCACCATATTTGTATGGTTGAAATACGATCAATATGTTCAAAAATGCTCACCATAAATTAAAGTTTAAATTACTTCTTATTTTTTCTCTCTGCAAATATATACGTTTATAAACAGCGCTGAACAAAAGTTGTTATCTGAATTTGACAGATCCATACGATGTAAACAAACTACAATGTTACAGATTCATTCGTCATCCCACTTAGCATTTGAGAATTTTGAAATATATTGATTGAAACTAACAATATGAATGTGCAAATTAGAATGAATTTCGCGCATTTAAATGTTAACAGAGTATTTAAAAATAATTACCTCTCAACAGCCACCCGTTAAAAACTCCAAAATATACACGATATTAAATTAAACATCACTGAAGAGTATTATCAATTAAATTGCGAATAAAAAGTACACACAGAAACTAAAATTAAGCATTAACGAAGCAAGCAGTGGCGCTACTCACTTCACAACAAGAACAAAGCAGGAAGATTGCCAGGTTTGAATGAAACCGTTTATGAAATATGTCGGCATGGAATTATTAAAGAGTGCAGTTATTAAAATTGTTAAATGAAATTCTTCTTATAAAGCATCATTTGACATTTACGAAGAATTTATTTAAGGCACTAAGACTACTATACAAAGAGAAAAACGGTTTTATTGACAAAAAGAAAGCAAAAAGTAAAGAAAAACGCGAGAAAAATAGAGTTGGGCTGAGAAAACTTACTATAAAACGTCATTCAGATTTGAACAGTGTCTCCCATTTTCTTTTTACTTGTTCAGCCTTTCCCTCTTAGAAATTTTTAAACGTCTTTTGGCTTTTAATATAAATGCTCATCCGTAAAATGTTTTAAGCCTACATAGAGTGTTGTTAGAAAAGTTCATGTTTTCCCATTTTTGACTTATTATTTTTTTTTTAATTTAGTGTTTTAGACCTATTTATAGACCCGTGTTCTAGAGGCTCATAAATCTGGATTATCTGAAGAAAATGCTTATAAATTCAAGCCATCTGAACAGTTTCAAAGGGATTAGAGCTAATAAATGGGTAGCTTTAAGCTACTGGAAGCAATAAAAATTTTGAGCTTAGATATAAAAATTTTGAGATGGAGAATTAATGGAGGGATAAAACCAAAAAATGTGAAGAATTACATGCATGCATTTTGATAAAACAAAACTAATACCAAAAGGGTAAAATTGCTTTTTGAAATTTTATCTCTTTAAAATTTGACTATATTATAACAACAAAATTAAATTTCTATCCTTATTCTAATTTATTTAACTTTTGCCACTCCTAGTCCTATGCCAATCATAGGCACATAATCATATGAAAAAAAAAAAAAACTTAACTACTAAGCTAAAAACTCAGAATGTTACAGAATTTACGTCAAACTTTCCTGTTAAAACGTTTTTTGGCCTGGTCCTTTATAAACAAGCGCTGCGATTACAGCCAACTTAAAACGCAATTTGGTTGTTTCCAAGACTCTGACTTCTAAATATTTTGTTAGTGTTTTATAGATTTATTAATTTTAATTAGTCTATGAATACTTTCAAAATGAAGCTAAAAAAAGTTATTTGTTTTGTAACAATCTCTTTACTGTCTCCTAATTAAGTTAATGGAAAGAACTTTAAAAATAATATTACTCAAATTGTTGAAAAGTTATAAGAAAATTATGAAATATATAGTATATAATTATAAAAAAAATATAAAAAGCAACAAACATACAGTTTTTCTACCAGTAAGAACAATCCTAACAGAGATAAATGCGTATAAATGTAAACCAAAGTCTTTAAATAGTACGGAATTGCTGCATATTTATGTGTAA